CTTAAGTATAGTGCTTGAAGCCTGTAACGAAACAGATCAGTTTAGTAAGTAGAGTTGCCTGTTTCTAATGAGTATACTGATTCAAATCAGTCTGATTAAAAGTAGGAAAGAACGTGCCTTTGATGCTGTTGCTGTCATACATTATAAAATAGCGATAAGTATGTTTGGTGTTTATTTCTAGACTGTACATCTATCACTGACCATATTTCATGATCACTGTCATTAACCAATTTCCCCAGCAATAACATCGGTAGCAAGATAGCTAAGCGTCTGAGCTTTTAGTTGCCTGCAAAACAGCAGTATACAGTCTTAGAAGATGAGTGTTCTGTGTCTCAATTAAATGCAGCTGGCTGTGGACAAATGTTAAAAATCTTTTAGACAACTGGGACTTTTAGTTTATCAGACACTTACTCTGCTTGTATGTCTTCCTGTTAAACTAGACGCAGATGCATACTCACTTAGCTCTTTAGTGAGAATATTACTACAGTCGTGCTAAAAATCCCATGAACCCCCCTACCTCCATCGAAACAAATAAGTCTGTATTTGCTGCATATAGCAATTTTATTTTTCTGAAGTAAGATATAACAGTTAGAATTAGCGTAAAATAGTAGTATACAGCAGATGCACGTGGTACATGTCTTTATCGATTAACTGAAATAGAGAATACGGATTTTAGCTTAACAGGCTTATTTAGAAAGACTATTGTCTACTTTGAACTTACTGCGTGAGAACGTTATACTGGAACTACGAATAATGTAGGAATCTAGTCTCCCAGGACGTACAAAGCACTCAAACTGAAAGACAGTTTTCCGAAAATAATTCGAATATGAAGGTGAGAACTTGCAGGTACTTTTCATCGTTAGGGTGAACATAATAGGTAACGGTTGACATCATGCCGTAAAAAAAACACAAATTTGCGAGTGGTGAGGTATGATCTATAAAAAAGTGAGCTTAATAACAGTTAATTACTTTTTTACTCCCTGATCATGACCCTTCGGCTTCCTTTTATGGCCAAAACAGCAAACATACACTACACACTAATAGCAGATTTCCGGCTTTTCAATGTTAAGCTTGCTTTAACGCACTACGTAATGAGTACAACCTCTCCAGTACTGCTATATGGAATACTTTTTATAACAAACCCTCTGCAATAGATTGGTAGCGTCTGTGACTTCGTCTATGGTTGTCGGAAGTCTGGGTCCTTTCGAAAAGAATACTGATATCCCCTACTGCTAGGCACTAAGTATTAGTTTGACTCGTCGGTGGAATATTGTTGTCCATAATACTGAAGAAAATTAAAAACCGGATACTGTTTCCTTTCATTTTGCCGATAACATCATAAAGGACAGTTAGGAACGAACATGCCGTCAGTTAGTCACAGACAGCAGCAGCTAAAAAACGAACTTCGGCTTTGGATATCTAGAAAACAAGTCAAAACAAAACCGATTACCATTTTAAAACATAAGACTAGCCAGGTTGGCTGAAAAAATACATTGAATTGTGTAGAAGCAGCAAAAACCCTTATAACAATGCTGATTCGAAGTAAATTTCACACCAACATATAGAACATTACACTAACTGCGGCATTTTAGCTCATTGAAACATTAAATTACATAGCTACACAAAAGAAATAGCTAAAAAAAGCACAGAACGAAGAAAGCCAATCGCCATTACATACAAAGATGGCGGATATAATAATTCCCGCCTCATTCTGATTGGTTGCTGAGCTGAAGAGCACATTTACGAAATTGAGTTGTGTTTAATTGCAGCCTCTTTGCCAGATTCACATGGATACTCTTATCTCTTAACCTGCGCAGACCGTTTCACTCGATAGCCAGATGCAGTACCTATCAAGGACATTAATGCTGCGCCTTTACCCACAATCTAACAGGTTGATAGGGCGCTTTCACTGGCAACCAAAAGCTTCACCATCAGCTGCGAACATTTCTCAGTGGACTGACGCTCTTCCACTCGTTTTACTAGGTATTCGCAATGCAGGGAAGGCTGACATTGGGTACACTGCAGCTCAACTGGTTTATGGAACGACACTTCGACTCCCAGCAGAATTCGTGGGTCCTTCGTCCTGTTCAATGAACATGGATCTAACCTCCTACACGAACAGACTTAACGTGCGTTCAGTTAAACCTGTTTCCACTCGACCTCAATCAACTGATGTTTTCGTTCAAACTAACTTACGATATAGTACACACGTTTTCGTACATCGGAACTCGCATCGACGACCTTTGGAATCAGCATACAAGGGATCTTTCACTGTTCTTCAACGCGAACCTAAGTACTATATAATCGATAAGAACAGAACCAACGACAGCATCAGCATCGATCGCCTCAAAGCGGCATATTTAGAAGGAAATCCAATCCACATCGATTCTCCTTCGTCGCAGTCGAACAACACGGCTCCGACACTTATAATACCTCATCCGACAGCCAACACGGACGACGATACGTCGACAGTATCTGAAACTAAACTGAAAACAACGTGTTCTGGAAGAAGAGTAAGATTTCCAGAACATTTAAATGACTATTGCATGTAAGACACCAGTCAACATTTTGCTTCATCTCTATTTTCCATGGCATTTTTATATAATGTAAAAAAAACAATTTTTATGTTTGTATTTATATATATTTATTATTTTGCCAATACCTATGTTGAACTTTTTTTTAAAAAATAAACAAAAAAAACGTTTTGTAAAAACCTTTTTTGCGCTACAAGTTTATTTTGACATGCACTTACGTATTGCTTTTCTTTTTTCTAGGACGGCTGGAAAAGACGATAAAAAGAACGATGAGGATTACGATGAACCGAAATTTTCATTGTACCTTGTTTCTGTATTACTATATTGCACTTCATGGTTCCTAAAAGTAAGGAATGACGACCAGACGCTGCTAAACCTAGCAAGTTATCAGAAGTGTTTACCGACGACAAAACTCGTTGGGTTTAAACTTCTGGCTGGTCACGTCTCAAAGTCATCATAATTCCCCCACTAGGGGGGAGTTATCTGTGGCGGTAAATAAATCTTTAAAATAAATAGCTCTGTAAGTTTCCGACATTAGATACTGACCACATGTTTTAACGGACTCAACTAGCTGAAGGCGCTCGGTCATGCATCCGCACCAAATCACGAGTGGAAACACCGTGCTCAACAACCCCTGCAATCGCTAGCCAGATTAGATCAAGCGATCTTCGATATATTAAGCCTGTCAAATATATCTTCGAACCTCCTTGCTTCTGTCTTTCGATTTCACTTGGTGCGTACGATTCATATTAAAAGTGTTACTAGTTAAAGCGTTGTCGAACTCCAAATACCCGTGGCATCTTTACTTTTTTCAAATGGTCAACACAAGGTGGGGAGATTAAGGTAGATATAATTTTTATACATCTAACTTGAGGTTCAATGAGGCCCAAGGCTAAAAGAAGAAAATTTTGGAATATTACACAGGAGTCGATCGTATTTTTCTTTGTTTTAACTTCAAGCTAATGGCATACTCTTTTTTAAAACGAAAATAAGTTCTGAAGACTTACATGGATTGTGATTGAAAAGACATTACTACAATGAAATTCGGGTAAACACTGTCGGTGGACATATAGGCTATCAGCAAAATCAATTCTTCTAGGTGTATAGCGGCAAAAACCAGTCACTACAATGGTTTATACAAACTACGGTATAAGTGGAATAACATTACATGCAGTTTCTGATTATTAAAGTCTGGATATTATTTTTAGCAACAACCTTAAAACTACTGGTGACTGCAAAGTGATAACTTTCAAAGAATGAGCTTTTGTCAGTACGTCTTATCTTTTTCATCCATCTGGGCCTAATAATCTGAGATGGCATTTTTGGAAAGTTCAAAAACTGAAATCGAATCTCCTATGTCATTTTCGTTTCAAGCTCGGTGGTAAATTACTTGAACTCCCTACCAGAACAAGCAATGCATATGATAAGTTCAAAGAGAGAGTGAAGCTCCATAGCACTATAAATCGTGAAGATATGTACAGGTAACTTGGCATCCTATTTTCATTTCTACGGACTGAAAACCAATTCGAACATCCTTCTAAAACGAGGAGTATGAACCTGATTGATAAATTGAATCCTCAAGGGGAAGCACATTGCTTGGATTAACACGAGTCAATTTACCTACTATCCTTAAAACAAAACACTGAACATCAAGAAGTGTAGTGAACAATATAAGCAGAGCGCCAATATGAACTGGTACGCACCTTGGATAAATCTTATGGGAGCTTGAAGGAATTCGCGCCTAAATTATTCCATAAATGCTTTTGAATGTCAAGGAGATAAGTTTAGATTTACCCCCGTTTTCGGGTTAAGGATTAGTGAGGATCTGATATTGAGTATTTCCCATCAACGGTAGCAGTTTTATTCGTGTACTCAATGACTGGTTACAAGAGAGCCAAACTCGGTCAACTAAATAGATTGGTCACTCTGAAAAACAAGATTTCTGCACAAAAGCACAATATTTCCGATGCTGCATCCAAATCTATCAGTGATATACACTTTGCGAAGAAGCTGGGAAGCCTACTGGGACAGGCTACATGCACTTCGTATCCAGATCATCAGATAAAATCGATTCTTTGCTCTGTTGATGTGATAAAGAACAACTACCTGCGCAGTGGACGTCTCCGCAAGGAAGCATGTGAAACTTCGGACTCCATAATTAATCCTTATGTACCAAAGGACCATCAAGCACTCTCCGATCTATCTGGCCTTTTAGAACGTGATGTCTCTATTCACTTACCTTTACTAGAGAAGAAGCATAGACCCTTCACTCTCTGTAAAAACAATGAAACTCACCCCAGTCTTGTAGAATACGATCTTTCAGATGATGATATATAACGATCCATTGTTTAAAACTGAAAAATAGTTCGTCCAAATACAAAGTATTTCTCATTTCCGACTTGTTGAACTTGTGTGGGATTAAGCTGACTTTGTAACTTTTGCAGATTTTTATCATTTCCACTACAGCCTTCGTATTTGCTGCTTGCCTGTTATTTTATTGGCGAAACAACAATCCTGGTAGTAGAAAGTCACTTCATGGTTTTAATGTTTTAATTACCGGCGGATCAAGCGGAATTGGTCTATCTCTGGCTAAGTTGTTTTACGGAGCTGGTGCTAATGTAACAATCGTCGCTCGAGACCTGAAGAAACTTGAGTCTGCACGGGAAATTATAAAATGTGGAAAAGATAGAAATAACAATGTCTTTATTTTGTCAGTTGATTTGACCTCAGAGTATAGTGTTTTGAATGAAATCTTCAGTAAACATGTGGCTACTCTTGGTAAGATAATGTAGCACCTTTTAAAATTGTCACTTTAGCCTTGTGGACTTTTAGTTCTGATAACGGACTGTACTAGGACGAATACCACGACATTTTATGCTGGTATATAACTCGCTGATTTTCCTTCCTGTTTTTACTTTTAGTTTAGATGGAAACCACCAAACACCCCTAACTGTTTTCTCTACCCATGCTTTCAGTAATAACTAATATCAAGTAGCATCTATACGTAGTTTCTGACATACATACCAACATTTAGTCCATTAAGGAAATAATGAGGATCAGAATGTGTACTAAAGTTTTGTGGACTCGTGATGACCCAGTTGTTACGTCGACAGTTTGTTAGGTGTGGTCGTCGAATTATATTTTTATGTTATTGTAATAAAAAGGCAGGTTCGTGTAGCGTTAACCATTCATTTGGCTTTCTACTTAAAACGTATAATTGAGACTAAGCTTGTTATACACATTTGGGATGGAGATATATATTTCTTTTATCTAGTCACTTAATTACAACGATATTCTGGTAACTCTGGAGCTCTGAACTTAGTTTAGCTACGTCTGTGTCTATCTCATTTGAGCACAGTAATTAGTAGACTACTAACTATTCGCTTCACAGGATCTTTCACTTACAACTAGACTTATTTAGACCTAGTTTACTAACTCATGATTGTCTGTTAGCTACAACGTAGGACTAGGCATATATGTGCATCGGTCCAAATCGCCATACCTCATTAGCACAACAAGATGAACACCGGTTTCGTAGAAGTAGTTAATTCACTGTTGATAATATATAAGAGAAGGATTGCATATAAGGACATAGTACAGGAAGGAAGAATTAGTTCGTAGAAAAAAGATACGAAGCGATTTTAATCTCATAGTTTAAGGGAAGACAGAGTGTATACATCGACGTCAATGTGATCGATTCTGAGCCATGTCACCCAGAGTCTCCAATCATTGGTTACGATAGTCACGCGGACCCGGACCGAGTACTCTGCATCTGTGAATGTGGCGCAGACCAGAAGCTAGTGACTTCAAGCGCTTATGCCACATGATTGTCCAGAGTTAGTTGTGTAGATTTGTGTAGTGTCATTACTATCCTCAGTATGTTCTACCCAGGGTTGCAAAATTGCTGCTCAAGAGCTTAGTTATAGATTCAGTAATTATTAGAACAAGTGAGAAATCGTTTCAACTCACATGCTTATCAATTATGAGCCTAATGTCTAGTCCTGTTCCTATTTCTGTCTTGGCATCTTCGTTGATGTTTGTTGGGACTTCTGTTGAAATTGTCCGTTGTTCCTTATGTGACATAATTAGCGGTTAAAGAAAAACAATTTGAGTATATCTATCTTTTAATACTAGGGCAGTAGTATAGAGAAATAATGAAATCACCAAAACTGTGGGTTCGCACCACACTAATGACCTAAATACTCATTGCGAATAAATGAGTTTTGAAAATTTCGCGTTAATTTCTACAAGACCGTAGGATTTGATTTACTATGTAATACTAAAAGCATTTGTTCTGTTGTATGGAACAAGATTCAGTGAGATGTGCCTTTCTATTTTTGTATTCTTCACCAGGCTAGTAGTATACGACACAACTATTTAAGAAATATAAAGTATTTATTCTTTTGTACCGAAAGATTTTTATTGGTTTAACGTTAAGGGGCCTGAAGTTTAATACCTTTCGTAAAGTTATGGAAGGTTAAGTTAGATTGAAGACTACTCTTGATGTTAATACAGTATCAGCCAAGTCTCTTTGTTCATGGGTTAAAGTCTTCGTAAATATTCAGTTGCAACACCCAAGCTAGAACTTTTTTTGAGTACCAGTTAACATCTGTCATCATTCCTTTCAGATTTTATCTGTTTTCAACGTTAGATGAGAGCGGTATTGATTACAATTTTCTAATTATAGAACTAATATCATCCAGGGTGACTTTGTGTTTCTATGTATTACAGGATCTGTTGATATTTTAGTGAATTGTGCTGGCTATGCTGTTGCGCGCAAGTTTTTGGATACTCCTACTGATGATATCCAGGGAATGTTACATTTGAATTACTTATCTGCTGTTCATGTGACAAGAATTTTATTGCCTTACATGTTAGACCAGAAATTCCACCAGACTCATGAACGACGCATTGCCTTCATTTGTAGTCTTGCCAGTCAAGTAGGTGTGTATGGTTATGCAGCATACACGGGTAGTAAATATGCTTTACGTGGTTTCGCGGAGACATTGGAAATGGAGTTGGGACATAAAGGCCCATTTGTAACAATCGCTTTCCCACCCGATACAGACACTCCGGGATACATTGTAAGTTCGACATTCATTTTTCTGTAAATCAATAATCGTGTCAGTCAGTCACAACGTAGAAACTGTTACGTATGTACATCGTATTATATTTGTTATAATCTGTGTTTCTTCTTACGGTTAATGACCCAGCTATTCCTATTGCTTAGTATTCTCGGACACCGATTCACTCGACAAGTCCCCAAATCAGAACACGGTTGAACAGGAAAAAGATTATATTCCAAATAGCAAGTCAGAAGCCAGTAGGAAGCACAATAGGGGAAAACGTCGGTATATTTATAGTTTTTACATAAGAAGATTCCAGAGTATTCTCCGACTATCGACTAGTGCTGATTGGATAAGAATCAGCCAATCAGCGTGCACCAAAACAATCATGCATTGAGCATGCTTTAATCTAGTCTATGTCCCGCTAACAATATTACTCAATCATCATTCGAATAATAATTATAATGAATATAACTAACATTTTACTGTCGATGCCAGGACTTCTTCCAATCACATCAAGGTTTAGTGAACGTGATGTTGAGTCACTTTAGACTAGTCGCTACTTTGAAACCTGATAGGTAGAGTTCGATCAACACTAAGGACTGTATAACCATGATATTGGTTATTCCTCATTAATCAATCAATGTACTGAGTTTTTGTCAGTCATCAGCTTAGCGGGGATGGTTGGATCCCTAATGACAATGAAGTGAACAACAAGCGCTCAACTACTTCACCTAATGTCGAAGTATTCTCCAGTGTAGACTGATTTTTGAGTAAACGTTTACATTGCGGATAGGCATAGCATTAATTTTGAACATTATTGGGTTGTCAGTCTAGATGTCCAGAGAGTCCATTTTAAGTGAATAGGACTTTTTATGAACTCCGAATCTATAAATGAATTTTCGGGGAAGAAATCTACCTTCACGATCTAAAGAAAAAAACGCATCACTCCTGTGATAATGCTATTACTTATACCTGCAATCTCTTTATTTCAAAAACCAAATGCTTTTTAGAAGCCATTGTCATTTGGTAAGAAAAGCACTGAAGTCTTCGTAGTGACTGAATAAATTTGAGCATAATGTTTTCTTCGTCAAACATTGCTAATAATAGAAAAGCTCGATTATATAATTTTTTCTAATATCTATCTTTCGTTAGTAATAATAATTTGATCTAAAATAATCCCCAAGAAGTTTTCCAAGCTTTTAAATGTGTTGATAGAACTTGTAAACTTTTCAGTTTGTATGTGAAAACTTCGTAACGATAAAAATCATTGGTTACTGTGTAACATAAGTTTAAGTGGTAAGCAATTTCAAGTGTTTTTGGAGCTGTAAAAAACTCCGGTTCTAGTTTCTTTAATTTACGCTTTGATATAAGTGGTTTTTTAGTTGTTATATCATACGAGACTATCTCTACTGATTTGGTTATATAAAACTGTTTGATAAAGTTAGTTGTCATTGTCTTGAGACTTCCAAGTTCCAGTCTGTGGTTTTGAAGCATCATCGTTTGAATCTATCATGACATTGTCTATCAAAAATGGACGTTAAAATAGTTTTTATTCTATTCCTTGTAGATGTATTCTTAAAGTGTTCATGTTTCCTTGGAATTGGTTATATGGAAAACACAAGTGTTTGCGCGATTAGGCATTATACAATGGGAAATACTAGTTCATGTTTAGTGTTTATCTTTCTCAGACAGGTATTGGGACTAGTTGAATTTTCTTATCACGTAATACATTTATTTGCTGATTTCCATCTACTGTCCAATGTAATTTACACATAATATCATGATTTTTTGACTGAGATAGTTTGGACATGTATTACATACACACAACTATTTACCTCGATACGCAGTGTTAAATGAAGTGAATTAAGTTGGAAGAAAGCTAGGGACAGTAAAACTAGTAGGTTTCATCCATGAAGTTATTGACTGTTAATCTAAATCATAGTGTTTGAAGTATGCCTACCTGGCTGGAGTCCGTACGATTATTACGTTCAGTGGTTGGAGATACTGAGTGATATGATTCAAAATTAATCATAGTGATGGAGCTATATTCTCTGCATGTTCATCTCCAGATTCCGAGTTTCAGTATTCTTGTATAACTTTTATTGCGCGAATCCTGTTTGCTTTTCGAATCATTTTCTTTATGGTTAGTCTCATTTACTGCCACTGATACGTCCATTTTTACTACTTGTTGTTTTGAGAACTTATTTTAAATTAATAATTGAGTATAATAAAACATTTCATTCGAAATTTTTAAAAACAAAATTCATATTTTTTAGCGTGAAAATGTTGGTAAACCAGTTGTAACTAAAGCGATATCTGCTACTGCAGGGCTAGCGTCACCGGATGATGTGGCAAAGTCTGTATATTTGGATATAATGAATGGAAAATTGATTAGTACATGTGGATTAGAAGGAGTATTTCTTTCTTGGATAACTGCTGGGATATTTCCTCCTGTAAGTGTACGATGCCGTTATCTTTCTGATTTTATTCCGGGTATTATATTCGCTTGTGTGGAGATTTTAGCTGCAACACCATTTCGTGCTGTTGGAATTGTTTATGCTTTTTGGATGCGATATATTTCGTTTAAATACAATGAATAACACTTGCTGACGTTTTTTACATGTGAAAACTTTTTGTGATCATACAATGTTATTTCGTTATGAATCGTATACTCAGGTTTCCTTTGTTATAATTGCCCATATTTTTATTGTTTTTATTATAATTTTTATTTACTGTTACACTTATAAACTGAACGAAACTTCGTCACTTTATCAAAAGAACTCGTTTTATTATAAGAAAATTAACTTGCTGCATTGTAGCATATTGATTGTGAAATTTATTAATTAATGTATATTATAGTTCATTTTATAATAAATAAGATATTGTTGTCTAGTTTATGACAAAAACATTTCAGTTATTTCCCTTGTTTTTTTTACCGAATGTTTATTTTATTTATCTGACAGGTTGCCGGATGTTATCCTTACTATTTTCCAGTCATCAGTAAAACTTACTACCCTAAGTGACTGATATTTTTTTTCAAATTAATGATTTGTAAGTGTCTGCTACTAATTTAAATGTTACTATACATTCTCTGTATCATTAGTTTCCATCAAATATATCTGATGTATTAGATGGTGGTTGGAGGTAGTCAACAGGAAACCCTGGACCCGGGTTTCGTGCTACTTGGCACTCGTCAGCAAGGTGTACCTGTAATCTTGAGGGAACTGGTGCTCCCTGACGGATTCGATCTCGTGTCACCCAGCTTCACAGTCAGAGACGTTACCACTGAGCTATCCGAGCCGTGACTAACCTCCTGTAGGACTGAGATGTAATCACAATTGATTGATCACTGGGTGGTGATCAATCTCATGCTTGTCTAGTCCTTATTAGTGCAGATCGAATGCTATCGATCATGTTGCAATGTGGCCACCAGTCTAGGTGACTCGACACTGCGGGCACTATGTAATGAGATTAGATGGTGGTCCTACAGGAGGTTAGTCACGGCTCGGATAGCTCAGTGGTAACGTCTCTGACTGTGAAGCTGGGTGACACGAGATCGAATCCGTCAGGGAGCACCAGTTCCCTCAAGATTACAGGTACACCTTGCTGACGAGTGCCAAGTAGCACGAAACCCGGGTCCAGGGTTTCCTGTTGACTACCTCCAACCACCATCTAATCTCATTACATAGTGCCCGCAGTGTCGAGTCACCTAGACTGGTGGCCACATTGCAACATGATCGATAGCATTCGATCTGCACTAATAAGGACTAGACAAGCATGAGATTGATCACCACCCAGTGATCAATCAATTGTGATTACATCTCAGTCCTACAGGAGGTTAGTCACGGCTCGGATAGCTCAGTGGTAACGTCTCTGACTGTGAAGCTGGGTGACACGAGATCGAATCCGTCAGGGAGCACCAGTTCCCTCAAGATTACAGGTACACCTTGCTGACGAGTGCCAAGTAGCACGAAACCCGGGTCCAGGGTTTCCTGTTGACTACCTCCAACCACCATCTAATCTCATTACATAGTGCCCGCAGTGTCGAGTCACCTAGACTGGTGGCCACATTGCAACATGATCGATAGCATTCGATCTGCACTAATAAGGACTAGACAAGCATGAGATTGATCACCACCCAGTGATCAATCAATTGTGATTATATCTGATGTATTTTAAATTGGAATTTTCCATAAAGTATATTCTCGATAAGTTTCCTTTACATTGGAACCAACTTTGGGGGATGAAATAATCGTAGATTATAAATGGAATAGAGATTAGTTTTCATTCTCTTTTACTTACTTTCTTTTATGTTAGGGGGGCTATTCAGTAAAAAAACTCGTTAATATATATAATGTATCCCATGGTAACAATGAAAATCACAAACGTAAAAGTAGCTTGGTCATATTTTTCAATTACCAAGTTCTTGCCTACCCCACAGTGAGATAGCAATCGGAGTGCAATTAATTTTAAAAATTAAGAGTTGTTGAGATGGAATATAACACCAGTCCTTGAATTTACTAACTTGATTTAAGTCACGTAGAAAGATGTTGATTTCTCAAATGAGGCACTGGCTGACAGAAATCATTAGTGACATATTTTCGAATGTCACAATAGCGTAAAACCATGCACTATTACCCTCTAAATCCTGATCATTTTTCTACTCTTCAATCATTTCCTCTTTCGGACATGTACTATTCTATTTCACTTTGATATCTTTGTCGAGAAATGCAACAACTTTTGTGCGAGATCATACCCTGATATGTATATCTGCGAAAAAGAAACAACTCAGTCCGTAGACCCTTTTTAAAATTAATGAAAAACTATCAACCTATTATTTTTCTGACGATGATATTGTAAAAATACACGAAAAGTATCGAGAAACTCGTTCGTTCAATTGTAAAGTAAAATTGACCTGTGTCCATTGGGGAGTCATTTTAAACTACCGTAATAATGATTCATTTTGTATTGTTTGTTTGAATCTTCACATCGGTGTTTAGGACTGAAATTGATCGGTCTCTTACTGACTTATGTGCATCTTGTGTGGATTGCCTCGATATCACCTTAAGTCACAAGCTTTATGAGCGAAGATGGATGGTGGCTAGCAGTGGAATCCAGGACATGTGTTTCGTCCTATCTGGGACTCGTCATCTGGATTCAGTAGGTAGGTGGATGACGTGATGGCGTTTGAAGCAAACGGTGCTAAGTTCGAGCCCCGAAGTAAACACCAACTCTAGACTGCAGGCACATCCATCTGACGAAACACGCGTCTTAGATTCCACTGTTAGCCATCCTTCATCTTTGCTCATAATGCAATAATGTTTGGATACATTAGTTAATAATATTTTTAGGAGCAATATTTTTGACAAATTGGTGACCTTACTTTAGAAATGAAAGGCTAATTATTTATCATAATTCTACTAAGTTTATTTGCAGTGCCTCCAAGCTATTTTTCGACCTTTTAGTATGACATCTTGAGTTAATTTATTATGGCTTAAATCACATTTAGTCAAGTTTGTTAAACTTGCAGTTTGCTGGATTTTGAATAATAATGTAGTTTAAAATTCGATAAAAGATGAACTAATTGTAACACAATTCATAGTACACCTATTTAATTTTTTTCATACTCAGGTTCTTAATATTTTAGAGGGTTGAATCTTTTCGATTTATCATTTCACTTCTTGCGTGACTTATTGTACAGGAGCTCCTTTAACTTTTATGATCAAAATGCTCTTCTGTTAATATAACACACAACGTTTTTTTGTCAATGGAATTAAATTTGTTAGGAGTTTTAGATAGATCAGTCTGTGGTTTATGAAAGGTTGTAAAATTTTCTACTGTCCAGTTACTGATGTACTGTTTATAATACTCTGTTTGGTGAGTATCTTCATAGTTAATCAAATAGAATAGGAAGATTGCACAAAATTAGTCACCATTCTTCATCTTGCATACTGCAGTGTTCGATTTGTAATCACACTGAAGTTTTATGTCAGTCAGTAACAACGTAGAAATTCGTACGTATGTACATCAGTTCAAGTTGCCATACCACATTTGCACAGAGATGCAGTTGTCGATTCAAATCTCATAGTGGTAGAGTTAGGAAGAGTATAAGCAATAATCCTACTGCTACACCATAAAACATCGCACGTCGGTGGCTGAGCATACGTAACACTTCCCAGCCATCTATATGAATATGTGGTCATTTTCTTGTTACCTAGACCTAGTACTTATGTATATAAGGGTGATAATACCGAAGTCACTCAATGATCTAAAGGCCAAGCACTTGCTGTGATGCCCTACGGTCCTGTGTTCAAATCCAGCGGGTGTGGACACATTACTAAGAGGTCCTATATGAGGACAAAACAACTTTCCAGTGCTGCTTGGTTCCCTCTAGTTGTTTCACTTAAGTCAGTTTGTGATGTATAGCTGTGAATCCTAATACTGAAAGACATATTTTGTATTCTCACAACTAAGTTCATAGTTCAAGTTTCATCATCTGTAAATAATTTATTTTCTATGTTGTTTGGATAGTTACATATCCAGGCGTTGGAAGTAATCTACCGGGATCTGAATTACTCTCTAGAACTATTCAAATAAAAAAATACTTGTATTCTTTCAATATCATTTTTATACTCTTCGAATTGCAAACTACAACCTCATCAAGGTTAAATCTTTTTTAATTTTCTCAAACATTCGTGATTGTTTAATTTCTTTTCTCTCAATTTATATTAAAGTGCGTGTTATACATAATCAAAACAAGCATAAAGTTTCATGAAATATCAGTGGAATTTATTTTTCCTCTAACAGTAATTGGAGAAGAAAACGATAAAATATATGAATAAAATAATGAAGACTTCAATTGTTTGCTAAAAGAATTTCATTTAATTATATACTTTTAATTTTATTCATTGTATCCTTTTTTAAAAAAATGAAATGTAACTCTTGATGTATAAGATTTCGGTGATTTTATTTTTTGATTGCCTCAATACGATTCAATATTTCCTTCTGAAACATTTTTTCAAAGTGATAAACATTTCTGAATCAGCTGAATTCTAAAATCTTACACTATTATGTTTGACAACTGTGAATTGTGCTTAGCAACTCCTTCGATATTTCATATTACCACTGGTGAAGTAATTTTGAAGAAATTCATTTCATAAATTTGTATTTTTCTAGATTTATTCAATTAAATCTCTGTCATTATCTGTTCAAAAAATTACAGGCCAGACTATCGTATAATTTATTTGAAATACTTGACGTAGTACTTATTGTATTGAATGGCTATAGTTTTCATTTTACAGACTATGAAATCAATCTTCTTTCAATGAATGGTAGAATTCGGTCGATATTAGATGTTTGAAACATTTATTGACGATCCATTAGTTCAGTTTAAAGGTTATTACTAGTTGCTTCAATGTTAAAAGATGTTGGGTCAGTCATAAGATCAGACTGT